GGTGGAATGAACCTCGTAGGGAAGGCCCCTTTAAACTTGTACTTACCACTCCCACTGCCCTGAAAGTTGAAGGTAAGCCCTTCTGGTTCCATAAAAACCACTGCACCCGGCACCGGCCGCCAGACCCACCTGGACTTGCTCCAGAACCGACGGGCTCTGCGCATGCTGACAGGGCAGCAACAAGTCTCCCTCCGCAGCACCCCACCACAAGCTCACAGACATTGGATGTTGCACAGGTGTCGGGCACTGATGTCCCCACACCCCCGTCCACGTCAGATGGTCAAAGGCGTTCAGCACGCTTGGCGGCCCGACAGTCTCCAATGTCGGGGGACTCTGAGGATGACAGTGTTCATTCTTATGCTCCCGCTCCGCCTTCTGACTCTGGTGGCAATGATGATGATCCTTCTGCCGCTCAGAGCTCTGATGGGTCTGACCCATCTCCATCCCTCGTTCAGGAACTGGACGAACTTCTTTCTTCTGACCCATCAGATGCTGGTTGAGTCCTGTCCCCTTCACATCCCTCATCTGCACCTTCCCTCCCTTTCCCCTTCCTCCTCCGCGGCGAGTGGGCCGTCGATCGAATCGAATCGATCGAATTTTAGGAAACGAGTCAATGGGGAAACATTGGCTTGGAATTCCACAAAGCATGGACTGCCATGGGGATGGGATGGTGATCATTGAGGTAAGGTGCAAAACAAACATATGCCAAAACATACTAACAAAACAAATGATGACAATAGAAAGAGCACATAGAGTGGTACAACTAATGAACAGAAGACAGAAAAGAGATCTAGACAAATTAAAGACTGCACACTGGGAGACCAATATGTTCCAACAATGGATTCAGTACTCTGTCCAGACAATGTTCAAAGCCAAAAAGCGCCCTAAAGATGATTGTATAGCTTGCTATAATGTTAAAAAATTACCAGCGCTTCAGATTATAGCCGGAAGTAAAATAGTTGACTGCCCAGAAATAACGGTGAGGTGCTTTGCTCACTGTGCCATGCATATGGCCGCAGGCATTGAATCATGGTCAAAAGACTGGACGGTATGCCCCAAAGCACTGACCTCCTCAATAAATGATGTAATGAGCACGTTCTCCCTCCCTCCTGTAGTTCAAAAACCAGCTGAACTGATTTTTCCNTGTTTGCACACCAGTATCTGGAAGAGGTCTGACGAAGTACCTGGTCAGGATTCTAACAGAAAGAGGCAACTATTTCAGAACAACTGGTAAGAGGCCCACTGAATGTTTATTTTATTATTATTTTTTTAATTTTATATCTAATAGTAAGTATAGAGCAGAAAATATAAATTAGTTGAGGCTGGTTGTTTAATGTGTGACACTCTTGCTCTAAAACAGCTGAGCATGACATTGTGCGAGACATGAAGGAGAAGCTCTGCTATGTGGCTTTGGACTTTGAAAAAGAAATGCAGACGGCAGCTTCCTCCTCCTCTCTGGAGAAGATCTATGAGCTTCCTGATGGACAAAAGGTTCAGATCAGCAAGGAAAGGTTCAGATGTCCAGAGGTTTTCTTCCAACCTTCTTTTATCGGTTTGTAGTAAAATGAAATTAAAGTCCATCCTCAGGTCTTTAAACTTATAATCTTATGCCATCTCTATCTATTTCATTCTTATACATTGATTACTGTTTTTCCTAAAAACCTGAGGCTGCCTCAGATTATTTAAGATACATTTTTGATATATATATATATTTTTTTTTTTTTTGGTGTTGTTCAGGAGAAGAATCACCTGGTATTCATGAGAACACTTACAACAGCATCATGAAGAGTGATATAGATATAAGAAAAGATCTGTATTCCAACATTCTGCTTGCTGGAGGATCAACCATGTTCCCTGGATTCGCTGAGCGCTTGCAAAAAGAGATGAATGCTTTGGCCCCACCTACTATGAAAATAAAGGTGCAGAAGTTTGTTCTTTTAATGCGTAAGGAGCTTTAACACATTTTATTCATCCAGAAAATAAATCTGCTGTGAGGATTTAAAGACTGTAAACATTTAAACCACATACAATGTTCTTCTAGATAAGAGATGAAAGCTTTGAAATATTAAAGCCACTATGATTGCCAAAAATTATTTCAGTTTAAGGTTTTATCTTTTTGTTGACAGTCTAGATCAGGAGAGCTTTTAATGGCAGTTTTGATGGTTAGTGTCAATTAAGAGCTGTGGAGGCTGCTGACAAACCCCCTCAAACATCAAAAGGGGTGTTGAAATCCTGATGATGCAGTTTTAAAGTATCATAGTTGCATCACGGATGCATAGTTATAGCAATCATTATAGCTATCATTCACATTCCGTCACAGCAGCTGCTGAAATATGCATGCCCCCTTAAAATAATAGAGACTTGTAGTAGATTCCACATTTTCCTCATGATCACAAAGGTCCTCTAAGCAATTAGTATGAATTTCATAAAAAATAAAAAAAATATTAAGGGTTAAAACAGGGAGTCTGCATGGCTCCCTTAATTTAGCATAGTAAACAATTATCCATCCATCCATTTTCCATAGTAAAGAACTATGAATTATATAGTTTCTTTTTAATCACAAGTATGGTCTTTAGCACTGGTGAGTTATGTGAGTGGTGTCACCATTTTTGGGTTTGGAACAGGGGGGTGTTTTTCAGCAGCGTCCATAGCTGCCATGTCAGAAAAGGCATCCCCTGGTATCAAAGAGGAATAAACAGCTTTAATGAATTTCACATGTTCTTAATATTGATACATGTATTCTGAGCTACTTGTTTCATGGGTGCATGATAATTTTGGGGATCAAAACACATTGCAATACATTTCTTTGCAGCCTTAAAATCAGTGGTGCCAGAAATATGCTTGTGTGTCTTTATGCTAATGTTGTCCAAGATGAGCTTATTCTTCAGGGTCTATGACTTTAAAACATTTGACTCAAACAGGTTAAAAAAGGGTTATTAAAGCTGTTATTTTTAATGGTCTTCCTTAAGATGAGGCTGTACTGAGAAATGTGTTCCCATGACAGGGAATGCAAATCTCAGCAGGCATGCCCTTCAAATAATTTGTCCAAATAGAGGAAAATGTCCATGAAAATTATTGATTGTGGTTGATTGAATCCCTGTTGCTATATGAACATGTCTGATCATGTCTAAGATATAAAGGAAATGTTATCTCGCAGGCTGAAGCACACAAGGCTTCTACACTGGATTTGAAATTACAAAGAACTTCTGGAAATTTCACTTTAGTCCCTCCCACTGATACAACTTATGGTATTAATCAACTAGAATGCATATTGAGCGTTATCTCACATGAAGGAACAAATAGAAATTGTATTTAATATGAGTGCACTAGTACAGAGTTGCACCCACCTCAAGGATAAATGCAGGGCAAGCAATGCAACCAAGTAGAGTTTTAAAACATAGATTCTTTTTATTAAACCTATAAAAACAGCAAACAGTAAAACAAACATCTTAACCAAAGTATTTATTAATAAAAAGTCCCAAAAAAGAATACAACTAACAAGGGAGGTGGAGTTCACTCCACTCAGCTCCATGTAGGTCGTTGGTCCGCTCCTCTTGCCAGCCTGACCATTACGAAAGAACAAACTCAGGACAGGCAATTGCACAAACCTGCTTCACACATTATCAATGACATGAGCAGAGATCAATCAGTCAGAGTATCGAAGCGCTACTTACACACACAGGCAGAGAAGCTCTGCCCAGCTGCCATGACAGCTGTCTTGCTCCCTTCCCCTGATCACTGTCCTTACTGAGGCTCCTGTTCCTCCTCTGCTGACAGCAGGTCTTGCTGCTGGTCCTAAAGCTTTCATCAGCTTTCAGTCTTTAATTTCCTCTCCTTCCATTTAAATACTGTCCTTTCAAGCCACCAACAGCCAGCTAACAAAGTTCGACATAAGTGGGATATCTTATGGTGATTAAAACTGGAAC